GCCTTGGCCTTTGTAAGCCGCATTGAGTCCTTCGGGAGATGTTAGCGGGTACAAATAAAGTTAATAAATAAATAAATAAATAAATAAATAAATAAATAAATAAATAATAAACTAAAAAACCAATGGATGGATTGACACCAAATTTGGACACAATGCACCTATCAGGCCAACAAGTAACCATCACTTGTAAAAACACTGAAAAACAGAGCAGAAGAGACTTAAAAAGCCAAAAAACAAAAAAATACATTGCAACACATTAGCAAAACCATATATATACACAAACACACATATATACATATATACACAAATGTAGACACACACATGTGTGTATATATATATATATATATATATATATATATATATATATAATATCACACACACCCACAAAACACATATATACAGGGCTACAGCACCACGTGGCAGGGGACGGCTAGACAGATTATCCAGCTGGACAAAAAATTATCAAGAGGTTCAACTCTGTCACCTATAGGTGACAAAGGCTTTCTATCACATTACGCATGCTAATAAGTTAGCAATGCAAGGGTGTCTGCATAACACTATCTAACAATTTTTTAAAACAAACTTGTTTCAGGTTTGAAAGTGTTATTTCTTGTTTAAGTGTGTGGTACTTACTTTGAAAGTAGTTGTTATTCTCCAGAAATATCATTGATTGAGACTCTCAGAGACATTCATTAAAAAGCTATAGCAAAAGGTGCTGCAGGACGTCCTGCAAAAACAAAGTTTTTGCAGGTTAATAAACCTTTTGCTTGCTTTTATGATAGAAGTAATTAGGAAAGGACATTTATAACCCAGGAACAAAAAAATTGTACTATACAGTATTGTGTATGTATGTATGTATGTATTTATTTATTTCTGCAGAAGATGATGCAGTTCTCCAGGTTTTCCTGGAGGACTAATAGTCTTCTGGTATTGCTCACCACAAATGCATAGAATTGTATGCTTTTTTAAAAAAACCAAAAACTTAACCTAAATTGGTGACCACGGCTTTTTCCCAGCTGCATAACAGACTGGGTCAAGGCACACCCTGGCAGCAAAACATGTTTTAGTAGATTGACAGCAGAGCCATACCTGGTACCATCATCATCATAGACAATCACTTGTGACAGAGTATGTTTGTCTTCCTAGGGAAGAGTCTTGGTGGTGAATCCATAAATGACTACAGAAATCAGTTCTGGATTCACATGGTCTTTCACATTGAGGACATAGATTTCTAGATGGAAAGAGATAACAACAAAGGTTTACTTGATTTGCTTACCTCTTGGCACATTTGTTCCTTTCGCCCTGTATTAGTTCCCTGCAAAATCATTGCTGGTACAGATACAACACTCAAGTGTCGGGGCTTGACAGTTCTTGGTGTGTATGCCATTTTTTAATATTTAAGACCATCTTTATATCTCTTTTGTTGTCCACTGGCATTCCACTTTCCATTCTTAAGTAGGGAATAAAGTAATTGTTTCAGGAGCCAGTATTAAGACATTTAAAGTTGATAGTGGAGAATCATAATTTCCATGCTTGGGCATGCCTGGTACCATCCAGCCATTGTTGTTTAGTTGGGAGGGGCAGGCTTGCAGAAGGAGGTGTTCAACCATTTGCATAATCACAAGTCATCAAAAGTACTGGCGGTGTTCCAGAAGCATTATCCTTTGACGTTGGGATCCTTTGTTGGGAGGTGTTAGCTGGCCCCAATTGATTCTTGCCCAATTGATTCTTGCCTCGTTGTAGTTGAAGCCGTGAAGCCGTTGGGAGATATCATCCAGAGTTTCGGGGTACAGTGTCATCTGTACGCAGATGATGTCCAACTCTGTCACTCCTTTTCACCCGCTACTAAGGAGGCTGTTCAAGTCCTGAACCGGTGCTTGGCCGCTGAAACGGACTGGATGAGGGACAACAGATTGAAACTAAATCCAGACAAGACAGAGGTACTCCTGGTCAGTCGAAAGGCCGAACAGGGCATAGGGTTACAGCCTGTGCTGGACGGGGTTACACTTCCCCTGAAGGCACAGGTTCGCAGTCTGGGAGTTCTCCTAGATTCATCGCTGAGCCTGGAGCCCCAGGTTTCGGCGGTGGTCAGAGGAGCTTTTGCACAATTAAAACTTGTGCACCAGCTGTGCCCGTACCTTGGGAAGTCTGACTTGGCCACAGTGGTCCACGCTTTAGGCTACTGCAACACTCTCTACGTGGGGTTGCCTCTGAAGACTGCCCGGAAGCTGCAGCTAGTCCAATGCTCGGCAGCCAGATTACTAACGGGTGCTGGGTACAGGGAGCACACCACTCCGGTGTTACACCAGCTCCACTGGCTGCCAATTAGCTTCCGAGCACAATTCAAAGTGCTGGTGTTAACCTATAAAGCCCTAAACGACTCCGGCCCTGTTTACCTCTCCGAACGTATTCTCCACTATGAACCATCAAGATTATTAAGTTCGTCTGGAGAGGCCCTGCTCTCGGTCCCACCGGCCTCGCAAGTGCGTCTGGTGGGGACGAGGGACAGGGTCTTCTCGGTGGTGGCCCCTCGGCTCTGGAACTCTCTTCCACTGGAGATCAGAACCGCCCCTTCTATCCTGACATTTAGGAAACAGGTGAAGACTTGGCTATGGAGACAGGCATTCGACGAGTGAGTCAACACCCTGAGATATGGATGGAGGATGATGAGCAACGATTTTAGTGTGACGACTGACCATTATAGTTATTGATTGTAATTGCTGTTTTAATGTTTTACTGTAATATGAATTATGATGTTTTATTGATTGTATGTGATATTATGGTTGGAAACCGGTCTGAGTCCCTCAAGAGGGGTGAGAAGGCCGGTATATAAAACTTTTAAATAAATAAACAAATAATAAATAATTGTTATATCTTTTCAATATGTTGCCACATGTTGCTGTGCCCCAATCTGTGTATATGTGTTTTGTGTATATGTGTGTATATATATTATGTGGTTTTGCACATGCATTGTAATTTTTTTTGGCTTTTAAAGTCTCTTCCACTGTGTTTTTCATTGTTTTTATGAGTGATGGACACTTATTGGCCTGATAGGTGTATTGTGTCCAAATTTGATGTCAATTTGTCCAGTGATTTTTGAGTTATGTTAATCCCACAAATGAATATTACATTTTTATTTATATAGATGGCATCAGGCCCGTAGCCAGGATTTTGATTCGGGGGGCGGGGGGCAGCGGCGGGGGGGCTGAGTTTGATTGGGGGGGGGGGCTGAGTCTGAGTGAAAGAGGGTCTACCCTAGCAAATCTTTTGTATCGTTACCCCAATACCCCAATGCATATGGGATATATTGAGCATGGTGATCAGATCATGATATGAATAAACATAACAGTTTAAATAATGCACCAGTAAGGCCTTCTCGCAGACCACCCTGAGAATTTCAGGGGGAGAGGCTGAAGCCCCTCAAGCCCCCCCCCCCCCAGCTACATGCCTGGATGGCATAGTAAAACATGCCATTATATATGCTTTTAGATAGAATGGCAAAAATAATTGTTTGCTTTTTGGATTTTTTTTTTAAATGTCAAGCCATGGCTGGTTGAATTCAAGGATGCAGAACCCATTGATATGAAGAGCCGACTGTACTTATTTTAAAAACGATTCCTTACTTTGCTCAATTAAAATAGTTTAAGTTTTATTTCTTTATAAATACCTATAATTATTATAAGTTATTCATATAAATGAATATAATAGGAATGTCTTTGAATATATACATTAATGGCATTATGTCTTTATGTCGGCTTTTTAATGATGTTGTACTGCCTGGGGGAGAGGCAGGTAGGAAATAGAATTTATTATTATTGCTATTATAATTAAAAAACAGTCCAAATTACTACAGTTTCATTCTTTAAAAATCAAAGGAGCATCAAGAATGCATAATTAATGCAGTTTAGCACCTCTTGGCTCAATGCTATGGAATCCTAGGATTTGTAGTTGGGTGAGAAGAGGTCCTGGTGGTGCAACGGGTTTAAACCTTCTTTTTTTTGTCGTGTCAGGAGCGACCTGAGAAACTGCAAGTCGCTTCTGGTGTGAGAGAATTGGCCGTCTGCAAGGACGTTGCCCAGGGGACGCCAGGATGATTTGATGTTTTTATCATCCTTGTGGGAGGCTTCTCTCATGTCCCCGCATGAGGAGCTGGAGCTGATAGAGGGAGCTCATCCGCCTCTCCCTGGATTCGAACTTGCGACCTGTCGGTCTTCAGTCCTGCTGGCACAGGGGTTTAACCCACTGCGCCACTGGGGGCTCCATTTAAACCTTTGTGCCGGCAGGGCTGAAGACAGAAGGGTCAGAGGTTTGAATCTGGGGAGAGCACGGATGAGCTTCCTCTGTCAGCTCCAGCTCCCCACGCAGGCACATGAGAGAAGCCTTCCACAAGGATGGCAAAACATCAGGGCAACATCCTTGCAGACGGCCAATTCTCTCACACCAGAAGCGAGTTGCAGTTTCTCAAGTCGCTCCTGACACGGAAAAAAAAGTTGGGTGTGGATGGGCACTTTACTCTATGGCAGAGAAGGCTAAAGAATTGGTAAAATTATAAGCATGGTGGTTAAAGTCATGACAAACTGCATTATTTCTACAGTGCAGATCAGGCACGGGCAAAGTTTGGCCCTCCAGTTGTTTTGGACTTCAACTCCCACCATTCCTAACAGCTTCAGGCTGCTTCTTTTTCCCCCTCAGCCGCAGGCCTGGTGAGGGGAAAGGAAGGGGCGTGAAGCTGTTAGGAATGGTGGGAGTTGAAGTCCAAAACAACTGGAGGGTTAAACTTTGCCCATGCCTGGTGCAGATGCACCCCAAGATTCTCAAGAGGCTCCCTTTGGGATAGGGCATCACTGTTGACATGTAGAGCTGCGCCCCCTGGCGGAAGGGCGGCGCTCTTGTCCTCAGCTGCCCGCTAGTGGGCGTGGCCAAGGGGCGTGGCCCAAATCCGCCCAGGTGCCTCTTTAAAGGGCTCCTGCAGCGCCCGCCTGGGACAGCGCAGAGCCATGCCGAGCCACGGAGGGGGCGCATCGCAACGCGGGAACAGCCCTGGCCGGCATCATGCGCCTCCCGCCGGGGAAGACCCTCCAGCTACCGCCTCGCCTTTACCTGGCCGCCGCTTGTTACCTGCTGGTGCTGCAGGTGGACGCCTATTTCGGGTCAGCCTCTCTTCCTCCCCTACCTGGGCTGCCTTTGGGATTGATTCCTGGCTCTTCTCTTTCCCAGTCGGAATTTGCCTATTTCTATTCTCTCATTCCATACTATTCTGCCTTTTCCCTTCCACTTCCTATTTTTCACTCTTCTGCCCCATTTTTGAGCGATCTTGTACCCCTCTTCTTCTTCCTTCCTTCTTTATTCTTCCTCCTTTCTTTTTTTCTGCCTTCCTTTTTCTTTTCTCCTCTTCCCCTTCCTTTATTCTTCCTCTTTCTCCTCCTTCCCTTCCCTTCCCTCCTCTTGCCCCTTTCTTCTTTTTCTTCTTCCTCCCTTTCTCTTCTTCCTTCTCCGTTTTCCTCTCTCATCTCATCCTCTTCTTTTATTCTTCTTCCTGCTTTTTCTCCTCATCCCCTTCCTTCTTCCTTCCTCCTTTTTCTTACCTTCTCCTTCCCTCTTTATTCCTCCTCTTTCTCCTTTCTTCTTCTTCCTACTCTTTTCTTCCTCCTCCTCCTTGTTTCTTATCTCCTTTTCTCCTTCCTTCTTTATTCATCTTGTTCCTCCTGACTTCCTCTTTCTCCTCCTTCCTTTTTATCTCTCTTCTTTCCTTTCCTTTTTATACTTCTTCTTCCTCCTCCTTCATTTTTCTCTCCCTTTCCCCTTCTTTCTTTATTCTTTCTCTTCCTCCTCATGTCCTCTTTCTCCTTCCTTTTTTCTCTCCTCTTTCCCATCCTTCTTTATTCTTCTTCTTTCTCCTCACTTCCGCTTTCCCTTCCTTCTCTTTTCCCTCCTCTTCTCCTTCCTTCTTTATTCTTCCTCTTCTTCCTGACTTCCCCTTTCCCCTCCTTCCTTTTTTTCTCCCTTTCCCCTTCTTTCTTTATTTTTCCTCTTCCTCCTCATGTCCTCTTTCTCCTCCTTCCTTTTCTCTCTCCTCTTTCCCTTGCTTCTTTATTCTTCTTCTTCCTCCTCACTTCCTCTTTCCCCTCCTTCTCTTTCCCCTACTCTTCTCCTTCTTTATTTTTTCTCTTTCTCCTCCTTCCTTCACTCTTTGCTTCCATGCTTCCTTCTCCTTTCCTTCTTTCTTTTCCCTCCCCCTTCTTTTCTCTCATTTCTGCAGACTTGTATTGTCGGTATCAAGGTCCACATTCGTTCGGCGATTCTCCCTCGTCCTCCTAATGGGCCTGATTTCTCATCCTGCCTTTTTCTCTCTCCTCTTCCATGCTTCTTTATGCTCCTCTGCCTACTGACTGTCAGATTTCCAATACTGGTGCCAAGGACGAGCCCGGGGCCCAGCCTTTGGAGTCTTCAGCGGCCTCTCAACCAGGATCTTTCCTCCTTCTTTTGGAGTTTCTCGACACTTCGCCTCCTTCTTGGAGCCCTTCAAATGGTCAATTCTGTCATGGAGTCGCCTGTCGTCAGCACACCTCAGGTGTAGTCGACGTCCTGTGCTCTCTCACCGTCCCGGACAGGTGCAGGCGTCCTGTCTCCGACGGCAGCTGGCTCTAGACCGGGGCCAGACTACTTCAACTTCCTTCTTTTCCTCTCCCCTTCCTCTTTCTTCTTCATTCTTCCTCCTCACTCCTCTTCCTCCTCCTTCCTTTTTCTTCTCCCGTCTCCTGCTCTTCCTTTATCCTCCTTTAAATAAAGTGTTGTTCTTGTTGTTGTTGTTTCATAAGGTGTTCAAGCCTTCTCTGTCCCAAGGTGCTGGTACTTCATTCAAGTCCAATGCTATGGAATCTTGGGATTTGGAATTTGGTGAGGTGCCAGCACTCTTTTTTCCAGGGGAGGCTATAGACCTTGTAAAACTACAACTCCCATGATTCCATAGCATTGAGCCATGGCAGTTAAAGTGGTATCAAACTGTATTAATTCTATAATGTATATTCACCCAAAGTCTGTATCTCAAGCCCTCTGTTTTTCAAGAGATGGTCCTACACTTTATTTTTATATTTGTAATTGCAATGGGTTTTTATAGTTGTAATTGCAATATTTTATATGTTTTAATGCTCTTAATCTCATTTAAAATTTTAACTGAAATGTTTATTTAATTGTATATTGGATGTATATTGTTTTTAAGGCACTGAATTATTGCTTATAGTGCAAGCCGCCTTGAGTCCCCCTCGAGGTTGAAAAACGCAGGATATAAATATAGTAAATAAATAAATAAGTAAGTAAACCCCTTTGAAAACACTAGAGCATAATTCACAAGGAGCCTCCGGTGGCGCAACGGGTTAAACCCTTGTGCTGGCAGGACTGAAGACTGACAGGTCGCAGGATTGAATCCAGGGAGAGCGCGGATGAGCTCCCTCTGTTAGCTCCAGCTCCTCATGCAGGGACATGAGAGAAGCTTCCCACAAGGATGATAAAACATCAAAAACATCTGGGCGTCCCCTGTGCAATGTCCTTGCAGACAGCCAATTCTCTCACACCAGAAGCGACTTGCAGTTTCTCAAGTCGCTCCTGACACGGGAAAAAATCATATTGCATTGCCTTGTAAATCCCTCCCACCCTTTTTTTTTTGTTTCTCATCCTGCTGGTGTTTAATGTATTCACTCTCATAGTTCTGTTTTTTGGAATGAAACCTACAAGCTCCCTAAGCCTAGGTAAGGCAGGACGAATCATCCTTCAAACCATAAGGCAAAATCAAACTTCCAAGACACTTGTGTATTTGAGCCTCCCCAGGAGTTACCAATCAGAAATATACTGTGCTATTAGTCTTAAATCTTCACATGCCCACTTCTCTTGAACTACTGGTTGTTTGATGTTTGGTTCATGTTTTATGATGTCTTATATTTTTATTGTTTCAATATATGTTATTGTTACATGTTTTTAAATTGTGTTACTTTGTAACCTTTGTTTATATTGGGCATGGTCCCCATGTAAGCCGCCCCGAGTCCTCCTTAGCTACCAAAAGGTGGATCATAGAATCATAGAGTTGGAAGAGACCTCATAGGCCATCCAGTCCAACTCCCTGCCAAGAAGCAGGAAAATTGCATTCAAAGCACCCCCGACAGATGGCCATCCAGCCTCTGTTTAAAAGCCTCCAAAGAAGGAGCCTCCACCACACTCCAGGGCAGAGAGTTCCACTGCTGAACAGCTGTCACAGACAGGAAGTTCTTCCTAATGTTCAGATGGAATGTCCTTCTGAACATTAGAATAAAGTTATTTTTATTATTATTACTAGCCGTTCCCTGTCACACGTTGCTGTGGCCCAGTCTGTGTATATGTACTATGTGTGTGTGTATATTTGTGTATATATGTGTGTTTGCATGTATATATGTGTATGTGTGTGTGTGTGTGTGGGGGGGGGTTGGCGCATGTGTTGTAATGTATTTTTTGTTTTTGGGCTTTTAAAGTCTCTTCCGCTGTGTTTCTCAGTGTTTTAAGGAGTGATGGTCACTCATTGTCCTGAGAGGTGTATTGTGTCCAAATTTGGTGTCAGCTCACCAGTGGTTTTTGAGTTATATTAATCCCACAAACGAACATTACATTTTTATTTATATAGATTACTAGCCGTCCCCTGCCACATGTTGCTGTGGCCCACATGGGGGTTCTGCGTGGGAGGTTTGGCCCAATTCTATCGTTGGTGGGGTTCAGAATGCTCTGTGGTTGTAGGTGTACTACAAATCCCAGCAACAAATGTCACTCACAAATGTCAAGATTCTATTTTCTCCAAACTCCACCAGTGTTCACATTTGGGCATATTGAGTATTCATGTAGAGTTTTGTCCAGATCCATCATTGTTTGAGTCCACAGTGATCTCTGGATGTAGGTGAACTACAGCTCCAAAACCAAAGGACACTGCCCACCAAACCCTTCCAGTATTTTCAGTTGCTCATGGGAGAACTGTGTGCCAAGTTTTGTTCAATTCCATTGTTGGTGGGGTTCAGAATGCTCTTTGATTGTTGGTGAACTATAAATCCCAGCAACTACAACTCCCAAGTGACAAAATCATTTTTTGAGTGAAGGACATATATTGGGTTGTTAGGTGTCTTGTGTCCAAATTTGGTGTCAATTCGTCCAGTGGTTTTTGAGTTCTGATAATCCCACAAACGAACATTACAGTTTTATTTATATAGATTATTATTATTATTATTATTATTATTATTATTATTATTATTATTACTATGTTTGTCTATACCTTCATGTCTTGATGAATGTTATAGAACTTCCATAGGAAGCAATATTGGGGGAAGATTTTGCCAATTTCTTTTGAAATACAGCCTTCACTACTTGATCATCAGTTTCAATCTCCCATCCAAATGCTAGCCAGGACTGGCCTTGCTTAGCTTCCAAGATTACACGTGATCTGATGTCTTAAGGGTATTTGACTGCATGCAGGAAGGTACTAAATAATCCTTATTTTGCTATTGATTTCCTGGTATTCAGATTGTTACCTGGATGATGATGAATGTTTTCATGTCATGTCTTTGGGTTTTCATTGTTTTGTAAAAACATAGCTGCGAGCAATCAATTAATAACCACCTTGCAGCCAGTTTTGAACATCCCCCTTAATAACAGTTCTGGGGTCTCTCATGAAACCGGTTTGCTTGGTTTTCTGGTTTTGCGAATTCCATCCTGTACACACTTGTGTGGATGTGCCTTCAAGGGTTTTCTTAGGCAAGGATTTGCACTATATAACACATTTTTGTTCCTGGGTTATAAATGTCATTTCCTAATTGGTTCTATCATAAAAACATGGACAAAGTGTATTAAATTGCAAAAGCTTTGTTTTTGCGGGACATCCTGCAGCACCTTGTGTTATAGTTTTCATAGAGTCAAAAGCAATTCAACCTAGTTTGTGACAGCCACAAAAACGAAGTTTTTGGATTATAACATCTATTTTCAAAGTAAGTCCCATACAATTAAAGAGGAAATATCACTTTCAAGCCAGGAATAGAAAATATTTCAAATTTTGATACATAGCGTCAGTGTTGGACATATTGTTTCTGGAGAATAGCAACTACTTTCAAAGTAAATACCGCCCAATTAAACAAGAAATAACACT